TGAGGAGGAGGAGGAGGAACAGACGAGAGCAGCGACATCCGAGCAAGGTTTTCGAACCAGTCGGAACACCCGCCTCGCTGGCTGAAGACGCGCGGAAATTTTGACCGCCGCGTGTGCGATCAGTCCAGTCCAAAGCGAACCTGGACGCCGCTGCCCTGAAAACTCACGTTTGGCGTCGCCAGTAGCAAACGTGTCCTCGTCAACGAATGACCAAGGCCCCGTGAAGAGGAAAGGGGATAATGACCCAAATCTCCCACGATTCGATACGTTCGAACCGCTGGCCACAGGACCTCTCATCCTGCCACGTCCTCCTCCTTCTCCTCCAACTCCTCTTGCTCCTGCTCATCCTCCCTCCTTCCTCCTCCTCCTCTTTCCTTCGTCGTTCCTCCTATCCTATCCCTCCTCACCCCTCGTCCCTCCACCCTCCTCTCCCTCCATCCTCCTCCTGCATGCCTGCGAACGACCATGGGGACGGATGTTTCAGCATCACATCATACACCACATTACATATGCACGGAAAAGGAGCTAGGAGGGGGGAATGAGAGAACAGATATGGATTAGCCTCCTTGCCTCCTGGCGCACAGGCGTTCTTAAATGTTCTCCACGCGCTCCTGGCCGAGAGCAGAAACGACGTGAAAAGGGAGCCAGGACAGCGGGGAAAGGAAGGGAAACCGAAACGAGCTATGCCCTCTCCTCCTCCTCTTCCTCCTTTTTCCCCTCGCCTTTTTCCTCCTCCTCCTCCTCCTGCTCCACCTCCTCCTCCTCCTTCTTGTTGCTCCTTCTCTCCCGCTGTCCTTCTTCCTGCTCCTCCCTCCCTCCCTCCTCCTTCCTCCTCCTCCCCTCCCTCTGCCAAGTCTCCTGATCCCCCCGCTCCATCCCTCTTGCTGCGACCCCGCGCGCGCAGGGAGCCCGCGGAAGGCGACGGCGGCGGCGACGCGCTGCCGGTGGCCGCCTCGCCAGTCGCGCCGTCGTCGCCCAGGCGCCAGGCGGACGGGCACGAGCCCTGCCGCGCGCGCAAGGGTAATACGAAACAAGGACGAGGATAAAAACGGGTGAATCAAAATCTAACATTTCTGAGATCCGGCGGTTCTGGAGGATGTCTCGGGCGCCGCGGCCTTCTCAGAGCGTTCCGGAACATCCTGAGAGTGTTCTGGATCGCTCTGGCACGGATTGATCCTCGTCTTAGCCTTAGCTCCGTCCGACAGGGGCCCCCCCCCACACGATGCTCGCATCGTGGCCGTCTTCGGCCACGGGGCCCCTGGGGCCCCTTGTCACAAAAGGCTGCTGGTACTCTTGGGCTTGGCCGACTCCGGAAGCCCTGACCCTCCAAATATTGCCATCTCTTGGGGGCGCCAGCAAAAACTCCCGCCGGCTTCCGCTGGTGGAGCCGCCCCCGTCTTACTTCTGCCGCCCTCCGCCGAGGAAGAAATGGCAACTCCTTCGACCCATGAAGGCCGATGCCCGTTCTGTCGTGCTTCCATGTTTGTATGTTGTTCTTCCCCCTGGGCGACTGCATTGAGGAATCGAAGCTGGATCGCTGTCATGGGCAGGAAGGACGGAGGCGGGAAGCGCGCGACGCAACCCAAGGGAGACAGGAGGGGAACAAGCACAAGGCGATACCGGGTGCCTACATGTGCCCATGCTAAGAAGACAGGGTGCGTCTAGGGGAGACTGTTTCATCAAGGCGGCCAGGCAACCATGGTTCTCAAGGGGCTGCTGGATGATGGAGGCCAGAATCACAGGTTCAGAGCCCAACAAGTCGAGCTCAATCCTGGTCAGCCGCGAAGCTTCAGGATAGAAGTACTAGAAGCACGCGTGAACTTCGCGCGAACTTAGGTTCACGTTTTATTTGGATCCTTGGAATCGCGAGAGGGGCAGGCAACTCAACGGGGGCATCGCGCGATCGCTGTCTGCGGATGGGCGCACAGAACAAGAACACTGAATGATCAGAGAGAAGATACCTTTGACCAGGAATCAACATGTGCTCAACACAGTCCCCTGTGTACAGTCGCCATCGACGTCCAGGAAGTTCTGGCAGGGCAGAAATGCACGCATGCGCCAAGACCTGCGCGCGTCAACGATGTTCAGCGTCACCTCGCGTCAACGATGTCGGGTGAGCCGCATGCTCGCTGAGCCAGTCGAGAACGGACTCTGGCTATAAGCACCCACTTGTCCGACGACACCTGCCAGACCGCGGCGCCCAGAACGGGGCCTAGGCTGGGCTGGGGTTGTGCAACAACGATTGGCAAGATCCTGAAACCATTACGGACCCTGTGTACGTCATGATGCTGATGAGTGCGTCGCTCTTGATGACGCAGGGGGGGGGGAACGAAGCAGGCGTGTCCGTTCATTGTCACCGTAATCATAAAAAATCAGTCCCTCGGAGTCGTCATAATAGCCCCCCGCCAGCCGAACACAATCGCCGTCGTCGACGCTGCCGACAAGTTCGAAAACGGCAGTCTCCGTGTCCAAGGAACACCGCGCCTGCGACAACTCTGCGCACCGCAGCTCAGAAGAAGGACTGACAGACTCTACTTCCGAACACATATCTGCTGCCGTACCAGAAGCAAGCGGGACTCACCAGTACCAATCTTCTCCACTGCAATTGACGCACACAGAGCTTGAGCTGATCCAAACTCCAGAAAAGCTTCTCCAGGACGCTCCACGAACGGCTGGCCACGTAGCTTCCAGCCCATGGGACTAAATTCCGACACAGGCGAACCTGACCCAGCCGATATCCACTGGGGATGAAACGCCCCATATCAATATAGTTCCCGCTGTAGGGCAGGCCATTCAATCCCACCAAGTCGAACCAACACACCCTGAAATCAGTCCACCAAACGATGACTCGCTGGTTGACCTCAACACTGCAGCGCGACTCATGGTCGTCCGCTGGTACGGGCCGGAGAAGTTGTCCGAGGTGGCGCAGTAGTTCGGCCCGTCTAATCAGCGTGCAACTGTTAGGCTCGGAGTGGTCGCGGTAACTGATGTTCCAGATCGACGCGTCGTCTCCAGACGCCTCGACGCCGTGGAGCGCCGTGGAGCGTCTCCAGACGCCTGGACGCGTCGTCGCCAGTCGCCAGACGCCTCGAGCCACCATGCCTTGAGACAAAAGAAGGCTACGTACGGGTGCTTTCATTGACTCGGGTGACACCGGTCTGACACGAATTTAATGTTTTTGTTGCTCGGGGATCACAAGTGGCAATTTCTAGCCGTTTTCAGCGTTTTCAGCCCCTGGAGGCCCTTGCCACGCCTCGCGACGGTCAAAAAAGAACTCGGGATGACAAGCCAGCCCTGGGGGAAGGGTCGGGACTTCCAGGGACCCCGTATGGGAAAAATCCTGACGTTGCATGTCTGGGTCGTCGTCCCTTCGGAGGGTCTTCGGAGTGCCTTCGGATGCCCTCGGAGGCCGAGGCCTTCAGCGTGGCCTTCGGCGGCCCTCGGTCCTTCGGAGGCCCTCGGTGGTCCCTGGAGGCCTTCGGCTTTCTGTCTCCTCTTGCCGCGCCCTCCTGCTCGGGCTGCCGGTCGGGCTTTGGTGCCTCTGCTCCGGTTGCTCTGGTTCCGCGGCCTGTGGTGGCCCTCGGTAGCCTTCTGCTGCCCTTGGGGGGTCCCCTTTGGAAGCCCTGGGAGAACCGCTCGAAGCTCTTCGGGGGCCTTCCCGGGCATCTCGGCAGCCTCCGGAGGCCTGTCGGAAACCTCTCGAAGGCCCCATCGGGAGCCTTCGGTCGGCAGCCTCGAGAAGCCCCTCGGAAGCCTTGCGGCGGCCGTCGGCCTTCGGAAGCCCTTCCGAGGCCTTTCGGAGGCCACCAGGGGACTCTCGCGAGGACCCTTCAGAAGCCTTCGAAGGCCTCGAGGGGCTGGGGAGCGCGAGGGTGCGCCCAAGATTGCGCCGACGGGGGCGGAAGCGCTGCGCACAGGGGCACGGGCCAAGACTCGGAACCGACTGCAGGAGCAGGAGAACGCCGTCGGCAACCAGGCGTGTGAACGGGCGACGGGCAAACGGTACGCGCACACCGACGCTGAAATGATGCGCTTGCGCTTGCGCTTGCGCAGGGACGCGTGGGAAGCTCAGAACGGCAGAGGCAGAGAGACAAGCAGAGGTTGGGATGCAGTCGAAGCCAACCACAAGAAGCCAAACAAGAACGAACCTTCTGGTTTAACCAACGTCGCGACTGGGTTAACGAAAGGGCGCCCGCATAAAAATCAAATGAAAGACCCCCGAACCCCTTCCGAAACCAAACTGGCCCTTACCCAAATGACTCAATGTGTTCCGGGCCGCCAGCCCCTGGAGCTCTCGACCATTTCCTCGGGGCTAAAGTTTCATCCCGAATCTTTGTTCGACGGCCCCAGGGCCGAACAAGGGTTCCGCTCGTCGGATGTTTGACTGTCGACGGTCCCAGGCCCTGGTCGGTTTTGGGCTCTCGACTCGCCTACCCTTGTGGGCCGTCCCCTGTCGTTGCGCTCGCCGGCCCCGGCCAGGGCCTCGAGAGGGCTCGGATCGCTGAGTAATGCCTCGGCCAAAGACGGCCCAAGCCCTGGCCGCCCCAAACCTGTGCAGAAATGGCCCGAGGCGCCCTCACCTGAGGCGCTGCCTCTGGCAGCGCCGCCTTGCGCGCGAAGTGCCCCTGGGGGTGGTCGGGGGTCGTTGAGGGCGCCCTGGGCATCTCGTGGGCCCGTTTGAGGCAGATGGTGGTTTCCGAAGCATTCTCTGGCCATGAAACAACAGAGGAGATGTGAGCCCGCCAGGATTGCCGCCTCCCCCCTCCACCACTAATACCCCTCCTTGTGCACACCAGAAACCGGTTCAACGCTGCCGCGGAAAGAAACACTCGAGCGATGGCTTGCCCACGACCCTATGCTAAAGTCAGCCCCCCCCCCCAAACACACGAATCTGCATCATCCTCATTGTGCTGAAGCGCTGCTGCACATAAGTGTGCTTCTTACTCCTGGTTGACATTTCCCATAGCTTCCATTCATCACATGCCACAGCACCGCTCCGTCTTTTCGAAAGCATCCCTCCACCGTCGTTTCGCAGCGAGCTCACAAAGGGGGCAGTCCTTGCTCGTCAGACGCGGCGGCGGGCTACCGTTGCCATAAACCAGCTAATGAGGGTTCAGTCAGCTGGAACACTGCCGACAACTACAAGAACATACAGCTTGTGAACATTCAGGCAGCAAGGTGAGAGACGGTGACATGCGAAAGCGTATTCCCCTTCTGCGTCAAGATCCGCCGCCGCTTAGAAATCTGGCAGCGGTCTTAACTCCATTCGACTGCCTGTGCTTACTCTGTACGATCATACGGTGAAGGCACCTGCAACCAGTACAGTCGGTTCTTGCACTGTCGATGCGCAGCCTGTGTTTCCTAATGAAGCTGTGCCAAGGTTCTTACACCTGTTTGTAAAGAACCTGGTGGGTGCCGAACGCGCTCGTCGCAGGGTTCCTTGGTCTTGTTTCCTTCCGAAGTGATTCCTGGGGATCCGTTTGTTTTGTTTCTCTGCAAAGCGTTGCCCGGGGTTGCGTGGCGTTCCGCGGGTTCCGCTAGTTCCTTGGTCTTGTTTCCTTACTGGTTCTGAAAGGCCAGCATCCCTCGGGTTCCCTAGGCTCTTTTGTCTTGCGTATTTTCCGATGTTTGAGAGGCGTTCCCTGGTTCGCCAAGCGACAACGATGCCAAGCAGTGCCAAGCGAGTCCATGCAATGCCTAGCGATGCGGGGTCATGCCAAGCAATGCAAAGCAATGCCATGCAATGTCAAGCAACGCTCATACATCATCCCAACCACTGCCAACCGATGCCGAACAATACAAAGCCATTCCAAGCATTGCCAAGCACCGCGATGGAATGCAAGCAATGCCAAACCAACGCCCAACCATGCAAACCAATACCCAGCAATGCAACCCATTGCCAACGATGCCAAGCAATGCCAGGCAATGCTGGACGGTGCAAAGCAATGCCAAGCAATGCAATGACAATGACAAGCAACTCAATGCCGAGGAAAGCAAGTCAGTACCAAACAAGGCAAACCAATGCCAAACAACGCCGAGCAATGCCACGCAATGGCAAGCAATGTCAAGCAACGCCGAGCAGTGTAACGCAATGGAACGCAATGCAATGCTAAGCAACACAAGACAACACAACGCCAATCCATGCCGAGCAACGTTGCGTAGGCAAAGTTTCCCCAGTGTGGGTCGCGCCTGGCTCATGACAGGTATCTGTGTTGCGACCTGAACAGTACGAGCTGCCTGATGCAGCATGCGTGGTACAATGTATAGGATATGTGCTAAAGTATGCTGCTGGTGTATGCTACTGATGCGCGTCATTGGTGTATGTATTTTACGTAAGGTGGCGAGGTGTGTTAAGGAATCATGTTTTTCGTGTATGCCATTGATGCAATGCTCCTGAGGTGTGACATTGGTGTATTTATTTATATATGTACTTCACGTCTGCTCTGCATGTCTGTGGACGGCGTGGCGGCATGACGACTGGACGGCTTGTCACCTTCCTGGTGGGGCTCACGGAGCGGCATCCCCAAGCATCACCTGGGACTCTTGGGGCCTGGCGACCACGGAATGCGGGGTGGGCGAGTCGGGGCGTGTCACCGTGAGGCCTCTCTGATCGGGCTCGGCGAGGCGGGATCCCCAAGGACCAGGGACCACCAAGATTCTTGGGGCCTCGCGGCCGTCGTGTACTGGGTGGACGAGGAGGGTCGGATCGTTGCCCCAAGTCTAGCCACCCCAATCTGTCGGATGGGGGCGATTACAGCACGCGCAGGCCCTCGCATGTCTCGAACAAGTCAAGGAACGACAACATGGCCAACCAGCGACACGCAAACCCCTCCCATTGAGCTCAAAGGCAAAGCCTCACACCGAACACGCACTGGACCATCCCTAGACCTCCGACGGCTCGGTTATGGTTGAGCAGATCTGATTGTTTCGAACTCTTGCGTGAGCAATCGGCCCTTCCCCGAAAAAATCTGCTTCGTCCTGGGTCGTCGAATTGTTTGCGCTGGGGCCCGGAAAGTGTCCCCTCGACGCCGAACACGGCGAAATAAATCCACCGCGATTTGTTCAGCCGCGGGAGGCCTTGGCACGAGGGCGCTCCCTGCAGAGGATGCAGGCGGCCCAGACCAGAGCATGCTCGGAATAGCTGGCGAGGAAACGAGCTTGGTGCCATGGGCAGCGGCCAGGCTCCTGCGCCCCAGGTACGGTGGGCTGCGTCTGCACTACCCTACCCTTCCTAACAACATTCTCCCTTCATGGATTCTTCCCTTCCTCCTCATCTTCCTCCTCTGCTTCCACCCCACTCCTCCATCCCCATCCCCCCGCGGCGCGGTGCAATACACGGATAGCTCTTCGGATAGCCCTCCTCGCTCCTTTTCCCTCATGCGTCCCCCTCCTCCCTCATCTATCCCTCTTCTTTCCCTCCTCCCTCCCCCCCTCTCCCTCATCGTTCTCCTCCCTCCCCACCCCCCTCCCTCACTCCTCCCTACCTCTCTCCTGCTTCTCCACCTCCTCCTCCGCCTCCTCCTCCTCGTCCTCCGCGTCCTCCTCAGGTCTGCTCTGTTCCAGGAAATAACACTCTCTACCGATGGATTCCGCGCAGGCAGGGCGCCACTACTGCTCACTCACGGCCCAGCCGCCGATCGACTCACAAGCCGATTGGGTGACGGTGGCGATGTACGGTTCCTGAGACCTGCCGGGGAACAGGAAGATCGCGGGCCGATCCCTTGTGCTCTCCCTCCTCTAGCAGAAGAGGGCGCTTTGTCGACGTCGCAAGCGATGACGGAACAGTGAACAGTATCAGCAGTTGGAAAACACATCACGTTGCAGCCCTCGCTTCTACGAGACACGTTCGCGCAGGATGACTGATTTGCCTTTACGCATACGGAGAACGTCGCATCTGTCGCCCGTTGCAGGATCGAAGACGCCTGCCGCGAACCACGGCCGCCCTCTCCCTTTGGGACTTGCTTGCATGGCCAAGCGCTGAGCCAGAGCATGGTCACGATATAGGACTGTGATATTCACCAGCCGCCGTGGAAGCCCTTGGGGGAGAACGTGAAGGATCGAGAGAGGGATAGAGAAAGAGGGATCGAGAAAGGGAGCGATAAAGAGAGAGAGGGCGAGAGAAAATAGGCTGGCAAGGCTGGCGCATCTAGACGAAGCGAGGGGGTGGCATGGCACCACGATCTGTGCACCGTCTTTTGGATTGCGGCCGCCCGTCAGCCTTCCGCACGTCGGAATACCAAAGAAGGTAATCTTTCTGTCGATAAGGCCCCAGTCTCCCCACCGTGCACCCAAGGAGGCGGGCGAATCCTCCAGGGGCAAAATACGCAAGTCAACACCAATACACACTGCGAGATGTCACGAAAAGGACGTGGATCACGGCTGGGCCCATATTTTGCGGTGGCGAACAAACTCATACCGGCAAAACCCTTGTCAACGCAACTGCTACCTGCGCCCCTCAGGGCAAGAGCGGCCAGGAAGGATCACATACTGGAACTTGTGCATCAGTGGCCTGCAAGATACGACAGAGCCTTGCTAACGAGCCTCACGCAGAAGGAACAGCCGAAACACCGAATAATATCCAACGGGCAAGAAGAACACAAAGGGTGTCATTCGGTGGACCAGAGAGGCGGGCACCGAGAGCCAGAGTCCCAAATGCAACCGCACATGGTGGCTGGCGGCCCGCAGGGCGGACTGCACCAAGATAAACCTTAACGGAAGGCCGTCTCCACATTAGTTCAATAATGGCAAAACGTGGACGTCGACTGCGGCCCGTCTTTTTGAAACGGAAACCACGCTGCAACGCATGGCCATGCGAGACCACACTTTGAGGTCCGCACTTCTTCCAGAGGTTGGCCAAAGGCCCCCCGAAATAAAATAACCACACTTGTGGATGGCACATCTAACTATATCTTCCGCTGGAACATTCCAACAACATGCAACATCGGCCCAATTCTCTGAGAGAGGCGGGCTGCACGCGAAGCCAATCACGCACAACACGCATTTATTTTCTTCGCTGGCCATGACCGCAGAAGATAATAACACCCGGCACCAAAGGCCAGGCTTTCCACAATGTTGCGAGCGAGTAGCTACAATAGGCGACCGGGCGAAAACCAACACACGCACAACATGCTTACATACCGGATATACAACACACAACACGCAACACCCAGCACGCACAACACCCACACCCACACACGCCCACACATGACACATGCACAGATGCTGGCGACGAATACAGAACAAGTTGAACACGTCATCCTGAGCCCTGGCGCGCGAAATACTGGCCCCGCCGACGGCCCCCCCTGTTCCGTTTCCGGCGAGATCCGAAAATCCGGCGAATCCGGCGAATCCAGCGAATCTGGCGACGAATTCCAAACACCCTCGCGTGGGATATCCTCAGTAAAGCCGGCGGAGCTTCCTATGGGGGCCACGAATCGTGTGAGGGGTGTGCCGACATGGGTGCGGTGGGCGCATGCGGACGCTCCCGCTAGGGCCTTCGGCGGAACTCCATATGGGGCCACGAACCGTGTGAGGTGATGGCAAAATGGGGCGGCGGTGTCATGCGGACGCTCCCGCTGGGGCCTTCGGCGGAGCTCCCTATGGGGCCACGAACCGTGTGAGGTGCGTGCCAAAATGTGGCGGCGGTGCCTTGCGGACACTCCCGCAAGGGCCTTCGGTGGAGCTCCCTCTGGCGCCACGAACCGTGTGAGGAGTGTGCCGAAATGGGGCGCGGGCTGCGCTATGGGACCTTCGGTGGAGCTCCCTATGGGGCTACGAAACGCCATACTGGGCGTGGGAGACGCATGCTGACTGTACCACTGGGACCTTTACGGGGCCACGAAACGTTGTACTGGCGCCACTGGGACCTTCGGTGGAGCTCCCTATGGGGCCACGAAGCGAGGTACTGGGCGTGGGAGACGCATGCGGGCTACACCACTGGGACCTTCGGTGGAGCTCCCTAACGGGCCACGAAGCGATGTACTGGGTGGGGGAGACGCACGCGGGCTGCGCCACTGGGACCTTCGGTGGAGCTCCCTATGGAGCCACGAAGCGCCGTACTGGGTGGGAGAGACGCATGCGGGCTGCGCCACTGGAATCTTCTGTGGAGCTCCCGACGGGGCCACGAAACTCTGCACTGGGCGTGGAAGACGCGCGCGGGCTGCGCCGCTGGGACCTTCGGTGGAGCTCCCTATGGGGCCACGAAGCGCTGTACTGGGCGTGGGAGACGCATGCGGGCTCCGCCACTTGGACCTTCGGTGGAGCTGCCTCTGGGGCCACGAAGCGCTGCGCTGGGTGGGAGAGAGGCACGCGAACTGCGGAGGAGGGAGGAGGTGGAGGAGGAGGGGGGGAGGAGGAGGAGGAGGAGGAGGAGGAGGAGCAGGAGGAGGAGGAGGTGAAAGGATAAGCGGATGATTTCGACATGGAATATGTTTTCCTGGGCTCGAGGCTCAAGCCGGCTGCGGTGCGAGCAAGGGACTCTCACAAGGGATTATCACAGCCCCCCTCAGATCTGAGTCTCATCAGATACCTTTGGAGGCAGAGCTGGTATCAAATTATCCTGGCGAAGGACCCAACCATATGCAGTTGTGAGTATCGCAATTGGGAGTATCTTCTTCGGTGGCGCTCCCTATGGGGCCACGAACCGCATGAGGGGTGTGCCGAAATGTGGCGGGGTACACAACGCAAAGGATTACGATTGATCTGATTACGAGAGAAAGAACGCGGGTGCGTCAGAGCGCGAGGGAATCTGAGTATGAATGGGTCTGCGCGCGAGTGAATATATATATGCATGAATGCGATCGTGGAACCGCCTAGTGTAAGTGTCGAGCATGCCTGTCCGAACACACGTGACACTCGGCGTGGCCGCCGCAGGCAGCTTCCGCGGGAACCCCGACGGCAGCGTCCGCACGTCGCGACGCCCATGTCGGCACGCCTCTTGCGAGGATCGCGCCCGCTTTCGGCTCTTCTTTTCCTTCCTCTTTGCCCGCGCACTCCAAAATCCAAGGCTGCGGGCGCAGCGCAGCGCGGAGTCCCCGCGACGCGCGCTGGTCGCCCCGGGCGGGGTCCCAGCGACGCGCGCGGGTCGTCCGCTGCGCGAAGCAGAGAGAGCTGACTAGCTAACTGGCTGGCTGATAGCGGGCAAGTCTCTGACCGCTGGGCAGAGCGACGACGGGCGAACGAGGCGCCGGGCCCCCCGCAGCACGGAGTTCCCGCGACGCGCGCTGGTCGCCCCGAGAGGGTCCCAGCGACGCGCGCGGGTCGTCCGCGGCGCGAGGCCAAACAATTAGTCGGGCAGTCGAGAGAAGGCGCGGCTCGGGGGAGACGCTCCTCAGGTCAGGCCTCGCGGATGAACTCGGTGAAGCCGAGCTCCCTGGCGAGGGCCGTCGCTTCCCTCCTGCACCGCTTCGTGCGCGCCGCAAACTGCTCCAGCTGCTTCCGCAAGCCCTGCGGCGGCCCTGCCAGGAAGAACTCGATGCGCGGCGCCCGCATGAGCAGGAGGTCCTCGTGGCGCGTGGCGCGCGAGAGCAGCGCGTAGAGCTCCAGCCACCAGTCGTCGTCCTCCTTCTTGCCGTTCCCTACCTCGTGGCGGCCGCAATCCAGGATCACGCCTGGGCGACGTCGACCGAGGGAGCAGCGCGCCGGGCAGCCGACGGCCCAGGGCGAGAGTCCACAGGACCGAGAGATGGTCTGGCCGCGGACTGCTCGCGCCCCGGAGGTCTGGCCGCCCCCGGAGCGCCGTTCCCCCGCCCCGTCGCCTTCGCGCACGGTGCGCCCCTGGCACGCCACCGTGGTGATGACCCTGCCGTGCGAGAAATGCGGGGGGTGTGCCGAAATGGGTGGGGGTGACGCATGCGGGCGGCGGCACTGAGGCCTTCGGTGGAGCTCCCTATGGAGCCACGAAACGTGTGAGGGGTGTGCCGAAATGGGTGTGGGGGACGCATGCGGCCGCGGGCACTGGGGCCTTCGGTGGAGCTCCCTATGGAGCCACGAAACGTGTGAGGGGTGTGCCGAAATGGGTGTGGGGGACGCATGCGGCCGCGGGCACTGGGGCCTTCGGTGGAGCTCCCTATGGAGCCACGCACGTGTGAGGGGTGTGCCGAAATGGGTGTGGGGGACGCATGCGGCCGCGGGCACTGGGGCCTTCGGTGGAGCTCCCTATGGAGCCACGAAACGTGTGAGGGGTGTGCCGAAATGGGTGTGGGGGACGCATGCGGCCGCGGGCACTGGGGCCTTCGGTGGAGCTCCCTATGGAGCCACGAAGCGTGTGAGGGGTGTGCCGAAATGACACCCCCAGTGGGGCCTTCGGTGGAGCTCCCCAGGGGGCCACGAAACGTTGTCCTGGGTGGGGGAGACGCATGCGAACACCCCTACTGGGACCTTAGGTGGAGCCCCCTATGGGGCCACGAAGCGCTGTCCTGGGCGGGGGAGACGCATGCGAACACCCCCACTTGGGCCTTCGGTGGGGCTCCCTATGGGGCCACGAAACGCTGTCCTGGGTGGGGGAGACGCATGCGAACACCCTTATTGGGACCTTCGGTGGAGCTCCCGATTGGGCCACGAAACGCTGTCCTGGGTGGGGGAGACGCATGCGAACGCCCCTACTGGGACCTTCGGTGGAGCTCCCTATGGGGCCACGAAACGCTGTCCTGCGTGGGGGAGACGCATGCGAACACCCCTATTGGGACC